TCCCCAGCTGGTGTGACTTAAAACAGCTCCACTGAAGTCAAAGGCCTGATGCTGATTTATACCTGAGGAGTATCCGGCTTCAGTGGCTTACTCCTAATTTACCCCAGGGTGAGCAAGAGGGGAATGAAGCCCAGTGGGAATTTTCTGTAATATTTTTATGAAGCCTCAGTATGCTTCAGTGTCCCTCTGTACATTGCATCTCTCCCCAATGGGTCCCAAAGGGTTAATGCTGCTCCTGGAGCACCGCAGAGGCATGTGCGTGTCACCACCTGGTCTGGGGGGGAAATGGTCATTAAAGAACAGGCTGAAACTGACCCAAATCAGAGGATCCAGCAAGACCAAGAGATGCCCCAACCACTGAACAATGAACAGCAGGAAAACCCAGCCCAACGGAGCTGGAGAACATGGTGTCAGGTGACTGAAAGCAGGAGGCTTTTTGGGGGGACTCAGGAGCCTGGACTGGGGGACAGGAGAAGGATGGGTCCACCACAGCTTGGCTGGCCCATCATGGACACAGCTCTTTGTGCTGCCCTAAGGACTTCCACATTCTGTAGCCAGGGGACTAATAAATGGTACCTTGCTTTGCAAAGGCTGCCTGTGTCACTACCAATATTCACTAAGCATTGCATCCTGAAGGGGCACTGCACAGGCCTCCTCCAGGAGTTTGTCTGGGCTGGATTCACTGCAGGGAGCCCTGGAGAGAGAAAGGGAGCACTGGTGCCAGTGCCCCAGGCTGGGAGTCTTGGAGGACCCAGTGGAGCCGTGCAGGACCTTGGGGCCCAGCTCACTAATGGGGTCATTCCCAGGGGACTGGTGAGAGGCTGGGGCATAGACCAGACCGTGTGCTGCTGTGACATGATAGTGGGGCACATGATGGTGGGAGGGATAGCTCAGTGGTTTGAGCATTGGCCTGCTCAACCCAGGGTTGTGAGTTCAATCCTTGAGGGGGCCATTTAGGGGTCTGGGTCCTGCTTTGAGCAGGGGGTTGGACTAGATGACCTCCTGAGGTCCCTTCCAACCCTGATATTCTATGATTCTATGGTGGTCATTGACATGGGGGGAAGTGATAGCGGGCTTCAAATACTTGAAAGGTTGCCCTAAAAAGATGGAGGAAAAGATGTTCTCTCTTGCCACAGAGGACAGGACAAGAGGCAATGGGTTCAAACTGCAGCATAGCAGATTTACATTAAATCTCCTGACAAACTTCCTCACTGTAAGAACAGGAGGACAATGGAACAGATGCCTGGGGAGGTCGTGGAAGCTCCTTCACTGGAGGTTCAAAAGGAGGCTGGATAGCCCTCTGTCTTGAATGGTTTAGATGCAACAAATCCTACATCTTGGCAAGGGGTTAGACAGGATGCCCCTTGTGGTCCCTTGTAACCCTATAGCTCTATGATTCTATGACACCAAGTGACTCCAATGCAGGTACCCCAGGGTGTGGGAGAGGCTCACAAGATGATCAGACATTCTTTTCTGCCGTCATCTGCACAGAACGCACCGTTCTTTGGTTGTCACCGTACAGACTGGCTGCACTGTGTTTGGCGAAGGGCCTGAATCTGTTGACACTCTTCACACTGGCTGCCTGTTTGCAGCTACGGACGTTCGTCTGCTTTAGTACATGCAATGACATGCTTTTTCCAACTTGGGAGCCTAACACCAGGCTCCTAAATCCCTATTTCGGGTCCTAAATGGGCAGCCTGATTGTCACTCACTTCTCTTTCTCTTGCACTTGCACTTGCACTTCAGTCGCAGGAGCTGAGCCCATCCCCAAATCCAGCGAGGTGCATTTAGAGTCCACCTGGATTTAGAAGCCTCGCTTTATGTCTCCGGGTTTCAACATTAAGGCTAAAGTGCTAGTTCTTTGCTGCTCTTACTCCGTGTGGGCCAGCTCCCCAGCTGGGGTCAATGGGCCGGAACTCCACTCGAGTCAATGGGTCCAGATCCCCAACTGGTGTAAATCAGTAATGCCCCATTGACTTGAATGGATTATGCTGATTTACACAAGCCGTGTGTATTGGGCATCTGCGGTACTGTGTCCCCTATAGGAGAATAAGGGATTTACACCCCAGAGACAAGACAATAGCTAAGGCAGAGAACAAATAATAAGCCACTAGCCTATTGATTGTTAGTGTGTTCTAGTACATCGTTGATTCCCCAGGGCCACATCGTGCAGAGTACTGCCTAGACAGAGACACACAGTGAGACACAGTCCCTGCCCTGAAGAGTGGATCCTCTAATTAGGGGAGACGAAGGATGGGAGAGGAAACAGAATCACGGAGAAGGAATGGGATGTGCCCAGGGTCCCACACACAGCAGGGCCCAGAAAAGAACCCAGGTGTCCTGAATTCCAGCCTGTCTCCTCTGGGCCCAGGTCCTCTCTGAAGAGGCAGCTTGTTCTGGGAAGATGTGTATAAAAACGAACCTGGAAATGCAGCTCTGCTGCCCCATTGAAGGCCCTGGGCACGTAGAGCTCAGCATCACTGCTGTGGAAGGACATGCAGAGCGTACCACCTCCCCTACACAGGTTCTGGAGATGACTGGGCTGACCGAGGGACCAGGGAAGGGCCCTGAGCAGAAGCCGAGCCGGGCGCTTCCCATGCCTCCTGGAAAGCAGCATGAGCGGGATCCTTACCCAACGAGATCACGTTCTCATAGTTCTCCTGCATGGCGTCCCTGCAGGGGGCTCTGCGGTGAGACGTGCTCCTTGGTGAAATACACAGCCGCCTCCACAAAGCTCACCAGCTCCTGAAACAGTCAGAGACACCCTGAGTCAGAACCTGCTGCCCCAGCCACGACCCCGCTCCCCCAGGTCTGTCACAGCTCCCCGCTGCTAGCGACGATCCTCACTGCACAGTGATGTGGCAGCACGACCACATCCATTCCTCTGCTAAGCCACTGCCTCATCCGTGTCCCCTGGTCTGCTCCTTTGCGTTGTGTTTCCCCAACCCGGGGGTGAACCGGCCCCAGCCACTACACTGGGATGCAGCGAAAGAGAAAGGCATACACAGACTGACAGCGAAGAAGTGGGAACGTTTTGCAAGATTTTCATGGCTCAGTTTCCCTCAGTACTTTGCATTGCTTCCCAGTGGTGGGCAAGGGATGACATTTGCTCTCAGAGTAGGACTAAGACTTGGGTGTTCATATGAGTCATTGTGGACTGCATGGGTCATTAAAAGGCCGACCCATTGCAATGGAAAACAAGAGAAAACAATGGAAAACCTCAGTGGGCTGCACATCGATACCTTGGAACAAGCCACCCAGAGAAAGGAACTGGACTGAGCCTCGCAGCAGGACTGGAAGGTGACCAGCAGGGCATGGAGCGGGGTGTTGTGGGAGAAGCTATTTTTGCTTCTCCATGCTAACTTCAGGACTTCCAGGGCTGTGTTCAGGGGACTAACCAACCCTGCTCCGGTTTGAAAATACTGCTTGGGTGTCACTGCAAATCCTGGCTGAGGTGCATTGGGCTCTGCAGAGTGGACAGAGACAAAGCCCTGGCTGGGATGATTTAGCTGGGGATTGGTCCTGCTTTGAATCATAGAATCATAAAATATCAGGGCTGGAAGGGACCTCAGGAGGTCATCTAGTCCAACCCCCTGCTCAAAGCAGGACCAATCCCCAATTTTTGCCCCAGATCCCCTAAATGGCCCCCTCAAGGACTGAACTCACAACCCTGGGTTTAGCAGGCCAATGCTCAAACCACTGAGCTATCCCTCCTCCCAAAGCAGGGGGTTGGACTAGATGCCCTCCTGAGGTCCCTTCCAACTCTTATATTCTATGATTCTATGACAGGTCTCTGCCCAGGAGCCTGGCTCAGCTGGACTCGGGCATGCAGCAGGGAGGCTGGAGCCCAGAGGCTCAGCCTGGGAGGAAGTGAGGCCCTGAAGAATGAGTGGATCCCGAGGGGTCTGCCCACTGAAGGGGATCCTACAAGGGACTGTTAAAAAGCTCAGGCGTAGCACCGGTCCCATGGATCTGTGACACTGAGTACAGCAGCTAAGGCACTGGGGCGTATGGCAGGGCGGAGGGGTGGCGCTCAGGATGCAGCAAAGGGAAGCTGTGGAGGCAGCCAGCTGCAATTGTAGGTGAAAGAGGAGGCTCATAAGAGGCAAAGGCTGCCCTACAGAGCTGCCCCCGGCGAGGCAGACAGCTGGCTCCCAATAGCAGCTACAAATGTGAATTCCCCCACTGGCTGCAGTTCAGCTCTGTTCAGTTAAGCTGGATGCAAATTCAGATCTGGCACACCTCCAGGAATCATGGGGAAGAAGGGGGATGGAGCAGGTTCCAGGAAGGACTTTGGTCCATTTCGCAGCCCTGTTCCCCCAGGTCCTTTCCCCACAGACAGACGCTAGACTCTGTAATGCTGGGAAAACCCCCGGTTACTTTATTCCTGGGAAGACCCGGCCCCTCCCACCAGGACCAAACCCACCTAGACATTGGTACCCCCCCCCCCCCCAGCACAGAGTCTCTGAACCAAACCCCAGAAAGAAGCAGAATCAAAGGAGCCGCTCTGGGGGATCCCACTGACAGGGTCCCCAGGGCAGCGCATCCCCCCAGCAGGGTGGGGACCAGGCAGAGGCAGGAACTGGCTTTTCCTCTCCCTGCGCCTCCCCTTGTCCCAGGAAAGTCAATCTGCCCGGGGTGCTGCAGGGAATGGGGCTGGGCGGGGCTGGGCAGGGCTGGGAGCCGGGAACCTCCTTCCCCGCTGATTGCTCCTGCTGCCCCTGCCAGTCTCTGCCCATCTCCCTCCTGCCCCCTCCCCTCCCCTCCCCTCGGGCTGGGAGACTCGGTCCCTGGCCCGGTCCTGAGGCGGTCGCTCTCCCGGCGCTGGCTCGGCTCCTGCAGGCGCTCAGGGGGGCAGAGCCTGGGGGGGTCGGGGGGCCAGCAGCTCCGGGACTCGCAGACCCCCGCCCCCGGGAGCAGAGCTGGGGCGAGGAGGGGCCGTTGATGCAGAGTCACTTTCCTGCCCGGCCCCAGCCCTTTCCCCGGGTCTCTCCCCTCACCTGCAGGCTCCGGCTCAGGGGTGGTGTCGGCAGAGCCAGGGGCTGGTTCCAGCCCCCGCGGAAAGCCCCCCCGCTGGGCACAGAGGGGCGCTAGGGAAGGGGCTCTCCCCGCACAGACCTTGCTGGGGAGCAGCAGCGGCTCAGCCCGGGCTCCCGGCTCACTATGGATGCAGCAGCCACCGTGCGCCCTGGGAAGTGCAACCCCGGATACAATGAGCAGAAAGAGAGGCAGAGAACAGCTTCCCCTCCCTGCGCCACATCCAGAGCCCTCTAGTGGCAACAGCTGATGAAATCCAGCCCCCCTCCTGCCTTTCCCGAGGAAGAAATTGGGCACAAGAAGAAAGACGCTTTTAAAAAGTGTAGCAGCGGGGGGTTGTGGGGGGAGCTAGGCAGAACTCTTACAAGGTGGCAGTGAGAGTCGCTGTGGGGCTAATGCTGCTCCTCTTACTATACCAAAGCCCCTGGTTCAGTGTTAGACGAAAGCCTTTCCTAGCACTCTCTGCCCTGGTCGCAGGACAGGACAAGAATCTGTGACATCCTAATACAGCTAGTCTGACCCAGTAGCAAGTGTGAAAAATCAGGACCCTTTTTTTTTTTTTTTTTTTTTGCAGGAGTCGGGGTGGATATAGTTGCATATGTAAGACAAAGCCCCTAATATCGAGTAGATCCCGGTAATTACAGCCCTGCACGGATACACAATCTGTATCCATATCCGATCTGCAAACACCGTCCAGGATATAAAGCGGATAGCCCCAGAATTGCAGGGCTCTACTGATACTATCAGGATTATCAGCCTGTGGCTAAAGGAGAGTTTGACTATGCCTGGAGGTTCCATGGCATGACACAATCTTTCATTCAAGATGAATCTTTAATTCCTGGAGATGCCAGGACAATCCTGGAGGCTGGCAACGCCTAAAACCTCTGCAGATGGTGTCAGCGAGACTGTTACTGGAGACTGAGCCCAGCTCTGGTGTCCTCACTTCAAAGAGGATGTTGGAAAATTGGGCAGGGCTCAGAAAAGAGTTACCAGAATGACTGGAAGCCTGGAAAACCCACCTTACTGCCAGAGACTTGAGCAGTTCTATCTATTTAGCTCAGTGGTTTTCAACCTTTTTTCTTTGCAGACCCCTACAAAATTTCAAATGGAGATGTGGACCCCTTTGGAAATTTTAGACACAGTCTGTGGGTCCCCAGGAGTCCCCAGACCACAGGTTGAAAACCACTGATTTAGCTTATTGAAGAGAAGGTTAAGAGGTGACTCGATCACAGGCTGTAGGTGCCTGTGTGGGGAAAAGATTTCTGGTACCAGTGGGGAGAGGGGTCAGGGCACGGTCCAGTGATTGGGAGCTGAAGCTAGAGAAATTCGGACTAAGGTACAAATTTTTCACAGTGAGGAGAATTCCCTGTATAACATTGCTAACATTTGGACTTTTCTAAACACCTCTGGAGCCTTGGAGCTGCTGGATGGTTGTGCCCATACTCGGGGGCATTGTTGGGAAGGGCTCTATCTGAATGCGTTAATGATCCTGGCCACAGCCAAGGTACACTGCCCAGGCTTTCCACATGGCCTGTTCTCTTGCCATCTAGCAATCTTCATGCCATGCTGCCAATCCCAGTTCTTTTCCCTGGGCTTTTGGGGAGGGAAGGTTGTACTGGTGGCATGGCTCTTCTGGGAGCACTGGCAGGGCATGTGGAGCACTGATCTCCCTGTGTCTGGTTTGGGGACGCTGCTGTCGTTGTCAGCTGATATTTTAATAATAGTTAATAATAATTAATAATACCCACCTCTTCAATAGCACTTTGCATTAGCAGATCTCAAAGCCCTTTACCAAGGAGGTCAGGATCATTAACTCCATTTTACAGATGGGGAAACTGAGGCACGGGGCAGGGATGTGAGCCAGGAATAGAATCCAGGTCTCCGAGGTCCTGCCCTCAATTCATTAGGCCACACTGCCTCCCCTTTGCCTTACTTAATGTAAATCAAAGGCATTGGCCAGGTAGATGCCTTTTTATGCTTCACCTAAATCTAAATAAAGAAAGGGAAGTAAAAGCAAATATATCAACGGGCCAGACTGGGGTATCATTTCTGATTTTGGTGGGGGGAGGGGCAACTTTAACTGTCATTCCAGGGGCTACTTAGGCACTTGAAAACTCTAGTATTTGGCAGATAACTTAGCAATTAGCTGACAGGAGCACTATATCTAATTCCTATATAAACAAAAGAAAATTAAATAAGTATTAGACCCACTCAGCTCCTACACTAACATGTTCTGACATCTTGTGTCAAGTCACTTAAGGGACACTGGTTAGGTTTAGAATTTTAATGTATATTCTTACTTTGTTACTAACTCTATGAAGAGAGAGACTTCGTCAGGACTCCTGGTTTCTATCTCAGCTCTTGGAGGGGAGTGGGGTTTAGTGGGTTACAGCAGGAGGACAGATACATCTGGGTTATATATAAGAACATCACAATGGCCATACTGGCTAAGGCCAATGGTCCATCTAGACCAGTATCATGTCTTCCAACAGTGGCTAATGCCAGGTGCTTCAGAGGGAATGAATAGAACAGGTAATCATCAGGTGATCTATCCTTTGTCTCCCACTCCCAGCTTCTGGCAAACAGAGGCTGCTAGGGATACACAGAACATGGTGTTGCATCCCTGCCCATTCTGGCTAATAGCCATAGATAGACCTATCCTCCATGAACTTATCTAGTTCTTTTTTTAACCCTGTTATAGTTTTGGCCTTCACAACATCCCCTGCCAAAGAGTTCTACAAGTTAACTGTGAAGAAATACTTTCTTTTGTTTGTTTTAAATCTGCTGCCTATCAATTTCATTGGGTGACCCATCGTTCTTGTGTTATGGGAAGGAGTAAATAACATTTCCTTATTCAATTTTTCCACACAATTTGTGATTTTGTAGACCTCTATCATATCCCCCTTTAGTCATCTCTTTTCCAAGTTGAAAAGGCCCAATTTTTTTAATCTCTCCTCATACAGAAGCTGTTCCATACCCCTCATCATTTCTGTTGCCCTTCTCTGTACCTTTTCCAATTCCATTATATCTTTTTTGTGATGGGATGACCACATCTGCATGCAGTATTCAAAATGTGAGTGTACCGTGGATTTATATAGAGGCAATATGATATTTTCTGTCGTACTAACTATCCCTTTCTTAATGATTCTCAACATTTTGTTTGCTTTTTTGACGGCTGCTGCACATTGAGAGGATGTTTTCAGGGAACTACCCATGATGACTCCAAGATCTCTTTCTTGGTGGGTAACAGCTAATTTAGACCCCATCATTTTGTATGTATAGTTGGGATTATATTTTACCATGTGCATTAATTTGCATTTATCAACATTGAATTTCATCTGCCATTTTGTTGCCCAGACACCCACTTTTGTGAGATCCATTTGTAACTCTTTGCAGTCAGCTTTAGACTTAACTGTCTTGAGTAATTTTAGCGTAAGCTTTTGTGGGTAAAAAACCCCACTTCAGATGCATGGAGTGAAAATTACACATACAGGCATAAATATACTGACACATGAAGAGAAAGGAGTTACCTTACAAGTGGAGAACCAGTGTTGACAAGGCCAATTCACTCAGGGTGGATGTGATCCACTCCCAATAATTGAGGAGGAGGTGTCAATACCAAGAGAGGGAAAATTGCTTTTGTAGTGAGCCAGCCACTCCCAGTCCCTATTCAAGCCCAAATTAATGGTGTTAAGTTTTTGCAAATGAATTGTAGCTCTGCAAAAACAATGAGGAGTCCGGTGGCACCTTAAAGATTAACAGATTTATTTGGACATAAGCTTCTGTGGGTAAAAAACCCCACTTCTTCAGATGCAACTGTTTTCATTGTTTTTGTGGATACAGACTAACATGGCTACCCCTCTGATACTGTAGCTCTGCAGTTTCTCTTTGAAGTCTGTTTTTGAAGTTTTTTTGTTGAAGGATGGCTACTTTTAAACCTGTTATTGAATGTCCAGGGAGATTGAAGTGTTCTCCTACTGGCTTTTGTATGTTATGTTGTGTGGCGGTTCAATCATGAGACAGAACACAGCTTTATGCAAGCAAGCAGGCTGGTCAGCTGAGATGGGCTGTTCTGCCCCCCCGCCTTCCACCTTCTCCTTTTATTATATTTCTCCCCCCTAAGCATTACACACTGCTACCGCAAAAAGATACACAAAGGAATGTATGACGTTGATTAATATACTTATTTGCCATCCTTTATCTACTACAATCCTGGTTCTCAGGCCTTGAGCCCAGGCTAAGAAAGCCTCCCACAGTTGCTGTCCCAACAATCAAGTTTTCATGGTTCATATCTAGCCCTTGTCCTTGGATAGAGCAATGTGTGCATTGCTTCTACAGAACAGTCAGGGTGTGCCCTGCCTGCTTCCAGGTGGAATAGCTAAACATGAACCCTTCATCCCCCCGTTTTTTATTTAATGATATTTGGCCATCTCATGGTAGCCGTCAATTTGTTTTGTCATGCTATTTAACTCCCAGACAGACAAGGACATAACCTGGGGAGCTTTCCAGGGCAAAATTTTACAAAGTCTTAACAAGGAAGGAATACATTGTACACAGCAGCAGCAAAAAATAAGCCCAATGATTACAAACACAGAATAACCAAAAAGCTGTCGCAGCCATTCTAGAGAGGACAGCCAACCTGTAAGCCAATTCCAAAAACCCTCAAACCCCAGATCTTGGCGTATGTGTGTTGTAAGACTGGCCAATTCAGCCAGTCTAGGTTCTATGGAGCGACTATTATCAGTTAAATTAAAGCAACACATGTGCTGAAACATGGAACAGCCTAGATGGTGTTTCAGGAGCAGAAAATCAATGGCTGCTCTGTTATCCAATATTGCATCCCTTAATTCGTGTTGTTCTGTGTTAAGTAAGGCAATAGCCTGGGATGTTGTATTAATTGCCTTTGCTGCAAAGCATGCCAGGTTATTTAAAGTTCTGGCTGAATACATAGCAAGCGCGGGGACCCCAACAATAGAGGCCGCTAAAGCAGTACACTCAGCACGACGAGAAAGCTCAACATCTGCAATAA